GGCTGGGGAGACAAGGAGGTGACTCTAGCCCTGAAACATAAGACAGTCCTGGTGCAGTTCATGGGGGGACGGGGAGCAGGAACCAGGGAGCCCCAAAGCCCTCTTGTAGACATAGAAACCTATAGTAGGCAGCCACCCTCTGCAGGACTCTGGCACCTCACTATCTCTCTGCCCCCGAAGGCCTCCAGAACTGGAGGTGGAGGGACGGGCTGGGCATGAGGGACAGGAGGGCTCAGCACCTATCACACCCCCACAGCCCTGGCACCGCTAGCTGCCCCATCTCCGTCTGGGGGCGGTCCCCTATCATCACTGTCAGGATCAGCTGCACTGCAGCTGCAGCCACCCCAGCCCAGTCTGGCCCGGGGCTGAGTCACCACTGACGAGGCCCTGACCAGCCCCCCGAAGGGAGGGCCCAGCGATATCAGTGTCCTTCTCTGTGCCACCTCCCCTATCCCTGCCCAGGACAGAGGAAACTTAGGCTGAAAGGGGGCCCATAGGGCCCTGACTCCCACCTTAGTCTGTCCCTCCCCTAGGGCACCAGGGGTGGTCCCCTTCATCCTACACCAAAGCAAACCACACACACCCCACCTCAGTTCTCCAGTCCTGCTGCCTCGGAGGCCCATAAGGGCACAGCCCTGCATTTAAGCATCATCCTCCCAGGCTCCCTGGCAGCCCATGGTGGGTGAAAGTTAAGCTTTGTTTGTGGAGGTCAGCAGAGGCCCATTTGTCCTTCCAGTGCTCTGAGCTCATATAATTAAATACTGGGTCTCTGGCCTGGAGGGAAGAGAGAGACCCTGTCCTCAGAGACTCCCCTGACCTTCTGGGGTCCCTGTCCCCAGGCCAGCCCCAACCACAGAGGGACCGGACAGGCCTCACTTTGTTCCTCTAAAAATACACCCAGAGGAAGACCCCTCCTAGGGCTTCCTGCAGTCCCCAGAGCCTGAAATAGTGGAGGGGGAAGGTCCCACCCAAGGACAAGGTGCCTCCCCACCCTCCAGATAAGGCCCAAGGGCAGATTTTTCCACAGGAAGGTGAACTCAGCCATTTGTGTCTAAATCAATGGACAAACGCCGAGGGGGAGGGGGCGCTTCCTCCTGGGGATGAGATGCCCTGGGAAGGAGGGGAGCCCCAGCCCTCAGGTTGGCGACAGCAGTCAATCAGCACGCGGTCCCAGGGCTCCCCTGAGAACACAGATCTGACCCGAACACCCCCTACTCTGGCTGTCAGTGGCTCCTGGGACAAAGTCCAGCCTCCAGGACTTGGCACTGTGGCCCTCACCACCCCTACACCTGCCCTCAAGCCACAGGGAACAAAAAGGGTTGCAGGGGTTCATGCTCAGGCCTGTGCCCGGGGCTGCCTTCCCACTGGGAAGGCGGTCTCCCCTAGAAAAAGCCCCAGGCCCTGCAGCATCCAGGGTCACAGGCACAACCAGCTAGCGCAAAGGCGACATTTAAGAAAGGCACAAGGCAGATGTCAGGGTCCCCTGCACATCCAGAAACTTCAGATCTCACACCTCCACCAGCCCTAGGCCACTGGTTCTCAAAGTGGGATCTGGGAACCCCTGCTCTTGAATCCCTTTTTAACAGATTTTTCTCTTTAGGGGGAAAAAAAAAGGGTAGAGGGAGCATGAGAGACAGTAACAAGGGGCTTCCAGGACAGCAGAACAAAAAGCCCCAGGCTCCTGCGCCTGGCTTCCAAGTGCTGCCCAGGGAGGGGCACCCCCGAGGCCCTGCTATCTAGAAAGAGGTAGGGCAAGGCACCCCGTCCTTCTTTCCTAGCTCTTCCTGACTGGGGCGAAGGGAGGGTGGGGTAGCAAGAAGGGGGAGGGGCCCCAGTCCTTACAGACCCCAAGCTGAGTACCCAGCTTAGAGAGTCTCCTCAGCTGCCCCCATGGAGGAGGGCCATCCCCCTCTGAGGTCTTCACAGCACAAGCGGGCTCCTCAGACAAACAGACAGGGATGGAGCCACAAGCAGACAGACGCCCAACACAGGCACTGAGCTGAGCACACTCAGTCCCAGGACCTCCCAGCAGCCCCTCCCTGGGTTCCTCAGCCCCTAGGCCAGGGAGCGGGAGGCTTGTCAGAGTGACCCCTCCTTGGACAAGTGGCTCTGATGAGCATTCTGGGGAAGAGGGCTGGAGTCGGGGGCTAGGGACCAGAGCAAGGCTGCCCTGACCCCAGCTGGTTTAGAACACAGGCTGAGGGCAGAAAGAGTGGCTCCAAGTGGCCAAGAGGGTAGTAACCAGGGGCAGAGAAGGGGCCCAGAGACGCAGAAGAGTTGGAGACAGATACTTCCGGAAGGGACCAGAGGCAGAGAATGCCATCAAGAGGCAGGGAAGGTGGTTCTAGGAGAGGCCAGGGTGGTCCCTGTGGGCAGAGCCCGCCATACCTTCTGGCCAACCTCAGAGCTGAGGCTGCCTGCACGGGGCCAGTCCAGCTTTGGCTCCCAGGGGTCATGAGCAGGCGGCAGCCCTCGCTGAGCCATCTCCTCAGTGCAGGTCAGCTGCCGCCGGCGGAGCTCCTCATCTGTCTCCTTGTCCACCACCAGCAGCCGAGTCTGCCCCTCCACAGCCTTGATCCTCTGCACCACCTGGGACAGGTAGGTGGTGGGAGCAGGTCACGGCCAGCACTCCGGGCAGCATATCACAGTGGTACCACCCAGGGCTGACCCAGGGTGGCAGGCAGGGGCAGGGGTGGGCGGCTGGACCGAGAGGCCCGCTGGCTCCACCCCCCACCCCCAGGCTCTGGCAGCTCCCTCCCTCTTCTCTTGGGGCTCCCGACACCAGGGCCCAGGCTGCAAGGGCTGCCAGGGACTTGCAGGGCCTCGGCTCAGCCCAGGGTCTTCTCCAGGAGGGGCCGGGAAGTGACAAAGACAGTGTCTGCTGTGTGCATCTTTCTGCATCAAGGTCTGTCTCCATCTGGGTTTGAGGGAGAGAGGTGTCTCCCTGAGTCCCAGTCTCAGTGTGTCTGTGCCTACTTCTGTCTTTTCTGGTGGTGAGACGTGGAAATCTAAATCTCTGCCTCTAGGCCTTCTGTTCTCTTTCAGACCATGATCTTGGACCTATTGCTGCTGGACCTGCAGAGAGAACATCTGGGTTCCTGAGACAAAACACCTACTCTGGTACCCACAAAACACCCAATAAGCCGAATCGAGACCCAGCAGGCAGAGGTAGGGAGGGGCAGATCCACCTGAGGGAGAGGTGTGATTTGCAGGTGTCTGTGAAGTGTCAAGAGCATGCGTATGGCCACGGAGCATACATGCCAGTGTGTGCCCGCAGGGGAAGGAGCAGTGCCCACTGGGCATTGCAGTAGGAAGGGCAATACCTCAACCCCTACCGGAGCCCTGGGGGAGGGCAGACAGGATCCCCACCAGTTGCTCAGTAGATGTTGTCAACAAATAGGAGAGTTTGAACCAGACCCATGTTTGCCCCAGCCCTCCTCTGTACCTCCCTCTCCCCATGACCCACAGAGTCACAGGAGGACCCCAGCACCCTGATGCTTCCTGATTGTGAGACCTAGATGAGTCATCCGGTATCTCCAAGCTTCAATTTCCTCATCTGTAAAATGGGAGCTGTAACTGAACCTCCTCTCTCCCAGGATAGTGGGAAGGTGTCACATGGTCCCGTGTCTTAAGTTCTTAGAGATTAGCACTCCAGGAGGCCTGGGGTAAGCATCACCCTTGGGTTAATGATGGCACTGGCTGCTACACAGAGGCCAGGTACTAGGTCTGCCAGGCCCTCCCCATGGCCTATCAAGCCAAACTCTCTGGCCCTGACATCCACCCTCCTTCAGCAAACTGCCTTACCCAGCTGACACTGAGTAAAAGAAAGAAGGTTGCTAGACAGATGGATATACAAAAGCTCCAAGGGTAGAAGAGTTCAGCTCCCAGCCCAGCCAAGAACCGATTTACTAATCCCTAGGTCCCAGGGCTAGCCACACACTCTCAGGTGCTGGGGAAACACAGAAGACCGTGAGCTAAACAGGTGGAGGAAGACTGGACCCGAGCCAGGTGAGTCTCAGTAAGAGATGGAGACCCCCGTCAGGGGGTCAGGGGTCAGAACCTGCAGAGAACCTCCCCCTAGTCTTTATCTACAGCTGCAGGGGGCCAATGGGCTGTGGCGAGTGACCCTGCCAGGCTGCCCAGCAGCCTCCTATGAGAGGATCATGCTGCCACCACCGGCGACATCTCCCAGGACACAGACACCATCAGACAGGACACACACTAGTATATCGGCCTGCAGACACACTGGCAACTACACATAACCAGGTAGGCAGACACACAGGCCTGGCCACATATGCACGCAGCCACAACAAGGAGGGTATGTACACACACACACACACACAGCCCAGCTCACACACACGTCCAGGCACACAGACCTGTCCCCACACATAAATCTAGGGGGTGCAGATCTGTAAACTCACGTGCACACAGTCCAGTACACACACATGCTCACTCAATTGATGCAGGCACACACAGGTGTGCCCTTATTGTGACACCCCCCCTCAGGTACACACATGCATGACCCTCAGAGGGACCTGCATATTCACACATATACCCAGTTGTGCACACACCCACAAGTGTACACAGTGACAGAAAAGCACCCGGGGTTCGCATACAAATGGAGACCCCCGAGGTGCCAACTCCTCCACACAATGCACTGAGGCCGGAACAAGACTAAAGAGCTAGGGCCGAGAACCAGAAGAGCCGCAGTGCGGGCCCCTCCTTGCCAGGATCTCTTTCCCCATCCGCGCTGCAGGACCCACCCGGGTGGGGAAGGCTAGGAAGGAGGTCGGCTGCCGGTGCCTCCGTGGCCACGTCTCCCACCTCTCCACGGGAGCCCACGCAGGCCCTTGTGCGATCCCCTCCTGGCCCCAAGAAGGGAGCTGAGGCCTGGGCGCAGACAGCACGGAGCCCCGGGTGGTCACTGGCACCTTTGGCGCGC